GTCCTGAGAAGTTCAGCTGTGCTATCTAATACGGTAGCCACTAACAATGTGTGGCTATTTAAATTAAAATTAAATACCATTAAAAATGCAGTTCCACAATTGCAGTAGCCACATATCAAGTACTCAATAACCACATGTGACTAGTGGCTACCACTGGATATAGAACTTTCTTTTTTTTTTTTTAAAGATGACCGGTAAGGGGATCTTAACCCTTGACTTGGTGTTGTCAGCACCACGTTCACCCAGTGAGCGACCGGCCATCCCTATATGGGATCCAAACCCGTGGCCTTGGTGTTCTCACACCGCACTCTCCCAAGTGAGCCACGGGCCGGTCCAACATAGAACTTTCTGAGTTAAGGAAACCTGCCCAGGGTCACACAGTAAGTGGTGAGGTTGGGCCTCTGACCCCATCTGAGTCTAAGCCCTTCAATAGCTCCTTATTGCTTGCACAGGTTAAGACAAAGTTTCAGCCCAGCTTTAACCTTCTTGTACAACCTGGACCCAAGCTACCATGACATCATGATTTCTCATTATTTTCTCGCACAATCTCCCTCTCCAGTACAAGTTGGCTCACCACTCTCTGATATTCCCAATATGCTCACTCATAACATTTTTGCTTTCCTTCTCTCTTTCCACCCAGCTAATGTATTCCTACCTGACCTTTAGGTTCAAATAGCTGAAATATCTTGAGTCAATCCCTCTTTTCCATTCTCACCTCCTGCGCCTGAACCGACTCTGAGGGCCCTTGTCATCTCTTGCCATGGCAGCCTTCTGCTGCTACCAGGTATATGCTGACATTTACTGAGCACCTATGATGTGCTAGGCACTCTTTAAGCACCAACTCTTCTTCACAACACTTTGAGGTAAGTATTACTGCTGCCCCCATTTTACAGACCTGGTAACTAAAGTGCCAAGAGGTGAAGTACTTCTCCAGGTGATCTCTCTGCTTCTGACCTTTCATGGGCAGTTCACCCTCACACTATTATTCTGGCCATTTTTCTAAATCACAGAACTGTTACTTCCCTCCTCTGACCCCATGGGGAAGGGGCAGTATGCAAAGACCTTGCCTTGGGTGGAATGTCCCCCCAAAACTTGATCCCCACTTTTGTAACTGTTGAGGGTGGGAAGTCCCATTCTGGTAATTGTATTAGTCCGTTTTGTGTTGCTATAACAAGAATACCTGAGACTGGGTAATATATAAAGAACAGAGGTTTATTTGCTTATGATTCTGGGACAGCTGCGTCTGGCGTGGTCCTCAGGCTGCTTCTGCTTATGGTGGAAAGTGACAGGCAGCCAACGGGTACAAGCAGATCACATGGCGAGAGGAAGCAAGAGAGAGAGGGGAGGTGCCAGGGTCTTTTAAACAACCAGCTCTCCTAAGAACTAATAGAGCGAGAACTCACTCATTACTCCCCCGCCTAGGAAGAGCATTAATCCATTCATGAGGGATCTGCCCCATGACTCAATCAGTGCCCAACACTGCCACATTGGGGATCAAATTTCCACATGAGTTTTGGAGGGGACGACACATCCAAACTCCATCAGTAATTGAAAGGTGGGGCCTTAAAGAGATGATTAGATTGTAGGACCGTGCCATAGTGAATGGATTAAAAATGGTGGTCACAGGAATGGTTCTGACAGCTTTAAAAGGAGAGTGAATGAGTTTAGTCTCTCTCTCTCTGCTCCACCATTTTTCTGCCATGTGAGACCCCTACATTGCTGTAAAGCTACCACCAAAAAAGACTCACCCGATGTGTTCCCTGGTCTTTGGACTTCCTAGCCTCTGAAACTGTAAGCAATCAATTTCATTTTCTTACAAAGTACCCAGTTCTGTGTATTTTGTTATAAGCAACAAAAATGGACTAATACAGACCTTTATGATCAGAACCTTTCTAAACTCAAATCGCATTACTCCACCCTCCAACCCCACAGCCCAGCCACAAACTACTTTCAGTTTCTGAACTTGCCACGTTACTTTCTTCCTTCTGGGCCGTCACATGTGCTGTTCCCACTGCCTGGATTGTTGTCCATCCCGGCAGCTCTGGAGCCACCCATGGCAGTGCACTCTGGACCACGGAGCTTGCTCCCTCCTCTGAGTGACCAGCACTTGCTCTTCACCAGCAGCTAAAGGAGGGCTGGGTGCTGAGTTCACTGCATTAAAATCACTTCTCATTAAAAATATTCCCCAAGATTCAAATTTTAATAGGAAGGGTGGTGTTTTAATTTTTTCTTTTTTTTTTTTAAAGGAGCTCCCCAGATTATTCTGAAGTGAGGCAAAGGTGGTTTGCACTGGTTTATATATTTCACTCGTTTGGCAGTTAAGCATGCCCTGCCTAGATTCCAGGTGTATAACCCCTTTATTATTATTTAATTCTTACCTTCCTTCACGCACACTTATCTATTCAACAAATGTTTATTAAAGGGTTACGATGTAGGGCCGGCCCGTGGCTCACTTGGGAGAGTGTGGTGCTGACAACACCAAGTCAAGGGTTACGATCCCCTTACTGGTCATTTTTTAATAAAAGGGTTATGATGTGCCAGACACTCTTCAAGGTGTTGGTGTGCACAAAACTGGCACCATCCATCCATGCTCATAGAGTTTGCATTCTGGAAGGGAGTACTAGGCAGACTAATGGCTCCCCAAGATGTCCACACTCTAATCCCCAGAACCTGTGAATGTGTTACCTGATAAAAGGGATTTTGCTCTTGTGATAAAGTTAAGGATCTTGAAATGAGGAAATTAGCCTGGATTATCAGGGTCGGTCCTCAATCTCAAGTGTCCTTATAAGGGAAAAGAGCGAGGAAGAGGGCCACAGAGTCAAGTCATGCAGTGGCCTTTATCTAGAAGCTGAAAGAAGCAAGGGAACAGATTTTCTGCTAGAGACTCCAAAAGCAAGGCAGCCCTGCAGTCCCCTTGATTTTAGCCCAGTGAGATCCATATTCAGACTCCCGACCTACAGAACTGTAAGATAATATATTTGGATTGTTTTAAGCCACTAAAATTGTGGTAAGTTGTTACAGCAGCAAAAGGAAACAAATACAAGGTTTACTTATTTTATGTAGGTATGTGGTGGGCCTTCCCAGAAGATTATAAGTGCTTGAGGCCAGAGCCCTTGTGGTTACGATTTGATTTTCCCTCCAGCTCCCAGCATAATTTGGAGCTCCATATAGTCCTGCTATAGATGGTGTCTCTACTTTAGAATGGTCTAATTTTGGAGTTTGGGGTGATGTTTGGTAGGGATTTGGGGGGATGAGGCTGCTGTCCATGAAAGGAAAGGGGAGCTGTCAGTGAGGATAAAGTGTTTGAGATTAGAAGGTGATGGTGCGGGTAGGGAGGTTCTCAAACTTTTAGTGTGTGGAGAAATCTTATGAGATGTGCATAAAGTCTGGGAGGAGGGAACCCGGTCGATAGGGTGCGGGTGGAAGGAGTGTGTGAGTGTGTGTGTGTGTGTGTGTGTGTGTGTGTAAGGAATGTGTGTGTGTGTGTGGAAGGAGTGTGTGTGTGTGTGTGTATTTGGCGGCTGGCCGTTATATATTAATTCTTAACGAGAAATTTAAATTAAAAAAAAAAAATTTTTTTTTAAAGATGACCAGTAAGGGGATCTTAACCCTTGACTTGGTGTTGTCAGCACCACGCTCAGCGATTGAACTAACCGGCCATCCCTGTACGGGATCCGAACCCGTGGCCTTGGTGTTATCAGCACCGCACTCTCCCAAGTGAGCCATGGGCCGGCCCTTAAATTTTAAATTTTAAACGAGAATAAGCTTCCTATTCAGAAATAAAATTTAGAAGTAATCACCGCAGCTGGCTTGTATGAATGGTTATTTTCGGGCCCCGCCAAGGCCCAACCACCCTGACGCGGTAGGCCTGAGGCGGAGCCCAGGAATCTGCCTTTTTCCGGACATCCCCGGTGGCCGATGACGGGCGGCTTTGCGGAGCTGAGGCGGTGCGGCCCGCCGTTCCGGGCGCGGGCGGCCTCCGGCCGGGGAGGGCGCTGTG